CACATCACATCACTCTGACCTTCGATGTAGTCAAATCTCTGCCTCCCTCTTCCACTTTTAAGGACCCTTGTGATTACATTGGGCCCACCCAGATCATCTAGGATAATCTCCCTCAGCTTTAAATTCTTAATGATATCTGCAAAGTCCTCTTCATCATGGAAGGTAACAACATATTCACAGGTTCCTGAGATGAGGTTGTGGACTCTGGGGTGGGGACTGGGGGGAGCATTATTTTGCCTCCCAGAACATAGACTGGCATTGACTTCTACTGCAATGTCTTAAGTCCATTCCATTTTGGACCCAGTTATAGTTTGCATAATTATATTCTCTGTATTAAGTCAGAATGTTTACAATTAACAGAAGGTATTAACATATAGGACCTTAGCCCCTCTCATAAGACTTTAAGTGAAGCCCCTATCAGCCTATACCACCTGACTTACGATCACCCACTCCATTCCATCTCTGCCACTTGATGGGTAAGTTAGACATTTACTTGGATAGCTCTTGGATGGCATGGCCTTCCACTTCTTCCACCTCTTAATAACAATGATTTCTTTCTCCACTTCATCTGGACAACTTGCATGGTTCCATTTTACATCTAAAAATATTCTTTGAAATGTTCTCTGAAAAAATCTAAAACAAATATGTGTTGCTGTTTCCATTTTTTTAAAAAGTAAAAATAATCCCTTTTTATGTTTTTGAGTGACTTTCAGATCGAGTAAATCATGGGAGTTAGAAAACTCCTCAACGGAAGCAGAAGAGCACATGGGGTACAAAGAGGATGAAAGCACCTCAGTAGCTCTGGAGCACAGAGTTTCTTAAGAAATGTGGCAGACTGGCTGGAGAAACAAGCCTAGACCCCATCCTGAAGGACCTTGTGTCTTGTGACAAAGAATTAAAATTTATCCTGGAGTTGATAAGAAGCCATTAAAAAGTATTTTGTCTGAATAACAGCTTGCTTAAATTTCTCTAGTATTGTGGTAAACGCACTGAATGGGAATAAGACTGGGCAGACCAGATAGGCTTTTTATAGCAATTAAAAGAAGAACTTACAAGTGCCTAAATTAAATCAGAATTAGAAAGGAAGAGACTGAATTTGAGAGATACTTAAAAGGTAGACCAGACAGGGTTTGAGGACCAAGAGAATGCTGGAGAAGGATAACAGTGTAACTTACAGGTCCCTACCTTGGGCAAAAAGTTGGTGTTAACAATTCACATTCAAGATAAGTAGAAGCAGGCCAAAGTGGGATACACTGAGTTGGGAACATCTGGTGGAGAAGTAAATAAAAATGGCAGTTGAAAATATAAATCTGGAATGTAAGAGTAAGATCTTAGAGATTTACAGTGGGAAGCATTGGCATAGAGGTGGGAGTTGGTCTCAATCAGAAGCAATCATTCACACATTATATAGAGAAGGAGAAGGTAAAGAAAAGAGTTGAATGTTGAGTCCTGCCATCACCTTGGCTCTATTCCACTACCTCTCACCAAAGTATTGCAATATTCTCCTCATGGTTTTCCTTCCCTACAGCACATTTCTTTTCAAATACAATTGTCCCACAATCAACAAATACAGATTCTTTCTATGACATCCTTTTACTCCAAAACCTTAAATAATTCTTCATTGTCTACAGATAAACCCTCCAATCCTTGGCCTTGAAGCCTTGCCCACTTTTTCCTTCTACTGCCTCACACATGAACATTAGCTTCTGTCAAATTGGTCTTCTCATTGTTCTGTGAACTTTTTCTACTGTCATTTTTTTTTCATACCGTCAGTCTGCTTTTATCTTTTCTTTATCAAATCTAAACCATCTTTCACAGAACCAATTTAGTTCCTTCTCTTTGAAGAACACCTTCCTAGACCAGCAGAGACCAGAGCAAATGCTACATTAAAAAAAAAAAATCATGACACCTACTGTCTTTAATACACACTTGATGATTTTCCAGTGCTTATCTATGGCAATTCTTACTCAGAATTTCATTAAGTTTTCTGATTTGGTTTAAAGCTAGAAGCACAGAAGTTCCATAAGAACAGAGAATTTGTCTATTTTATTCACTGCTAAATCCCAAGAGCCTAGAACTATTCCAGACATGCAAGCATTTGTTAAATCAATAAACACCTCTGCATATTTCTCACAGTATCTAGCTAAGAACTTTTCACATAAAAGTTACTCAGCAATTATTTACTAATTGCTTATTTAATTTCCTGGTTTCATAAAGATAGACATATGAATAAGAAAAATAATTTTCTTTAAGAAAAAATGAAACTGGAATTAATTTCTTTAGGAAAAAGAACAAATAAAGCTCTAAAATGCTTCCAAAAAACCCTGTGTAATCCATACTCAATGTGTAAAATATTGTCCCACTTCCTATGCTTATTTTGAAGAACATAAAAGAATGTGACCTTATTTGGAAATAGGACTGTTGCAGATGTAACAAGATGAGGTTATACTGAAGTAAGGCCCCTAATGTAGATAGGACCCGCTGCATTAAAAAATTATGCATCTCTGTGGTAAAGGAATACTTTTTTCCTAATTCCTATCACAGAACTCTTATCTGTAAAGATATAAAATCTAAATTTCTAACATTTCTTCTGCCTCACAAGATACAATTACATTACGCAGTATATGAAAACCAAAATGGTTTTAGAAGAAGCTACAAAATATCACTGTTTCAATTCTCAAAAAAACTGAATTATCCATAGGCTAGTTGCTAAAACCAACTGCTTAGCCCCCTTGCTAAAAACATGGTAAATTCAAATCTATAAGTAATTTCTTGAGTATTCCCAGCTGGATTTGTTCCTGATTGGTTGATAATCCTAGAAGCATTTTCCATCTGAAAGCTTCAGGGTAAAGGGTCATCTGCATGGTATCCACAGAGGTTGAAGATATTTACAAGTATTCCATGGAAAGTACAAGTGGAGCACCTTTCTTTGGGGATAATATTGATATCTCCTCCTTCCAGGCTTATGAAGGAAGATACTACAAAAAGATACTTCAGTATCTTTGATACACAGTGATTTCTATAGAAATATTAATGTGGTCAATTATTTGAGCAATTAATCTTGTTATTTGATAAATAACAAGATTTGCATCATTGAAAACAAAAATAATTCTGAGTAATATAACTCTTTAGATATTCATCACTAAATTGCATATTTTGCTTGACTAAGTCTGAGCGGCATTAATCTTGTATAATCTCTTTGGTAAAACAAATCTACCTCCCCAAAACCAACTGGAAATAAATGTTTTTTGTTTTTTTATTCAGCATACATTGGGTGACTGTTAATTACTGAAAGAAGGTATGGAATACTCTCTAGCTAATTATTTCATGTCAAGTAATTGCTATGAAATAAAAAATTTCTAAAAATTACTTGAGATGCATGCCAATTTTATCTTTCATCTGAGTTTGTGTGAAAATTTTTATTTTTAAAGAGACTTTTCAGAAATGCAGGATTAAAATAAGGCACATTATATATCCCTCCTGACTTATCAAATGATCCAAAATCCACTGTGCTGGATGAGAGGTAATTCTAGTTTCTTTACATAACAAAACATACTTTGCAATGTATTTTGGAATTATCATTATGTAATATTTATAATATGATGACTAGTTCATATTATAAATTATGTAAAAATAAGTTTATATGTTGACTATTATATAAGAATTTATAGCAATATTTTATATTATAATTATAAAATTATAATAATTTATATTAGAATAATATAATTATCTTGTTATTAATTAGAATATTTATAATATTAAAGAATTATTATAAGACACAATACAAAGATAATTACAGGATATATTATAGGACAATAATAATAACTTTTAAAAAGCCATTCTAGATTTTAAGTGGTCTGTTTACAAATTACATACAACTATATTGATGACAAATGCCTTGAGAGAGAGGAAGTGCTTTGGAGAAAGATGTATGAATTGAGACCCAAATCAGTGAGGCTTATAAAATAATTTTAAATTGCATATGCTATGAGAATTTCCTTTATCTTTTTCAGTCATCTTCCTCAGTAGTAAAGACACTAACCTCCTACACTGCACCTGATTTATTAAATGTGTATCAGTGTTTCCAAATTAAATTTAGTCCACATTAAGAGAAATGTTTTTGTTCTACTGGATCTTATTTTAGAATCATCATAGGCTTTCACCAGATAATTAAGGTAATTATTTTCATATATACATGGACAGTAGTCACTTATCCCCTTGAAATGCCATTCATTTTCTTTTGCTTTGAGGAGTTACATACACACACATATATATATACACATTTATATATATATTTATATGCACATATAAATATATATTATACATATATGCACATTTATATATAAATATACACGTTTATATTTATATAATATATACACATTTACATAATTTATATATTAATATAATTTATAATATATACACATTTATATAAATGTAAAACATTCTAAATGTGTATATATTATATAAATACATCTATATTATAATATATTATAAATTATAATATAATATAAATAATATAACATATTTATTTTTTTAATATTTTATTTTATTTATTTGAGAGAGAGAATGAGATAGAGAGCATGAGAGGAGAGAGGGTCAGAGGGAGAAGCAGACTCCCCACTGAGCAGGGAGCCCGATGCGGGACTCGATCCCGGGACTCCAGGATCATGACCTGAGCCGAAGGCAGTCGCTTAACCAACTGAGCCACCCAGGCGCCCAACATATTTATTTATATAATATAAAATTATATAAATTTATATATTATATAAATGTATATATATGTCTGTGTATTTATATATATAAATGTGTATATATGTGTATATAATATATAATAAATATATATATAAGTATGTAGCATATTTGCATATTGAAAAACGGTTGCTTCTCAATTCCTTTTCTCACAAATAAAAGATTCTCCACAATATCAGTAAATACAAAATGTTAAATCACTTAAGGCACCACACATACTACAGCTATTTTTTTTTAAGCTAAGAACTCACATATTGTCATTTACATTTCGCATCCATTCCTGTCTTCTGAATTCCCCTCTGGCCACCTTTAACTCACTGATTGGTTCTGCTACCCACAATGTTGGCTCCAAAGGCTTGTAGCGCTGTTCTAATACTTCAGTGATATCACGGAATGGTCCCTGACAAGAAAGAATGAGGAAATATTTTATTATGGAAGACTTTTTGTCACATTATTGATGATTAAGGATGCTGAGTATCTACAAAGTATACCAAGTTTACCAAAAGAACAAGCTGTTCTCTTAATTAGAAAATACACAGAATGTCACAACTTCAAAAAATGCTCACACAAGTTGAAGTTAAAATACTAAAATATTTTAAATCAGCCAAAATTTTCTCTACTTACATCAAAAGACTTTTTACGCTAAAACTGTTAAATTTGTAGTTATGTTACTTTGTTTTCTAATTTTAAAAAAAATATTTCTTCCGATATAACTTAAAAAGAATTCTCTCCCTTTTTAAGTAAAGATATTAGAAAAGATTCTCAGCATTGCTTTCAAAAAGCCTTCCTATCAATAGAAATAGGATAGCAAGTTTTTTTTTCATTAAATAAAGCTTTTAAGTGAATTCCACATTCTACATTTAACTGATAACCCTCCAAAAACAGAAGGCCATAATTGTAATTAATTTAAGCGTTCTTTAGTAAAAATTCTAAGTTCTATCGCATAATAACTCTGATACCAAAGCAACCATCTAATGACACAAATACATAGTAGAGGAAAGCCCATAAGCTGCAACAGTGAAAAGTGTTTTATAAGATATCCTACCTTTAAATTAGTAGTTACTTATACTAATTACTAGAATCCACTGGTTGTCTAATTAGTATATTAAACAATACAAATCAGAGGCGGCTCCAGATTTTACTATATCATTAATTACATACTGCTTTTTTTCCCACCACTGTTGTTGTACAAGACAGAGTGATATAAAATAGACAAAGATTCCTAATCATATTCCTTATCCTTAAAGATCTCTTCTTTAAATAGGTTATCACTAACAAGACACAGCTGGAGTTACAGCAAGCACTGACTGAAGACTGTGGGGCTAATAAAAAGAAATGATTCACGCCTCATTTATGTTCACTTATGTTTTACATTAATAGAAACCAATAATAGGAACCAGTAACCATAAAAGTCATGGACCGTAAATAACACAAATGGCAAATAAGTATCATCTAGTACTTTTCACAGCTGGACAGGAGGATTGCTATATTTGAAAGTAGTTAATGGATTTTTACTGGAACTTTACTTTTTAAAGATACAGTAACATGATTCCAAGTTCACTATTAAGAAATCAAATGGGGATTTATTATTTTTTTTCAGATTCTTAATGTTTTACTTCGAGAAATTTTATGGTTTAAAAATTAATGCATGGTTGTGTTATCAGGGGAAAATTACTTCTTTAGACCTTTTTCCTTATATGTAAAATGGAATAATAATCATCTCACAAAAGTGCTCTTAAGATATATAAGACAATGTAAGTAACACTCTTAGCATTGTACTGAGAACATACTAAACATTCACAAATGATACCCCTGGCTTTATTTTCATTATTAGTTTCAAGAAAAGTTTGGAGAAGGTTTTGAATAGCAGAATAAAATATATAAGGAAATGCACAAGGCTAGGACTTTGAAGGGACCAGCATTCACAAGGAGGAATGGTCTTCTAAGCGGCCAAACTCTACCTTCTAAACTTTGTTGGTGTATCAACATAAAACATACCCATTTGTAAGACTTAATCCACTACTTGTTCTGGAACTTACTATTTCCAAAGAGACTAGGAAATGAAAAAGGAGCCCAACTCAAGCAGCAAAATTTAGAATAAGAATAGACCCAGTCTTCCTAATGGGTTCAATATCTTTGTGACCCCAATCCTCCCGTAATCACATTCACCTCTCTGTATCTATCAGTGCCTGGTCCATACATTTATATCTTAGACAAGTGTCCAAGACACTTCGGCAAGTGTCTTGCCTTTGAGCTCAACAGAACTTCTCCCTGGTTAGCAAATGACATATACTGTCAAGCTTCTCCTACGCCAAAGCTTCTGTTAATTTGTATTTCTGTTGATAGACAGCCTTTTAGATCTCAAGTGATCACTAAAATTGATCATATGTGGAGTGACATGGGGCCTCAGATTTTGGGCATAGCTTCAAACTTCGGAACTGCTCATTGTACTCATTTCCAAATATTAATCCCTGTAATGCCTAGGCTCAACCGGAATCTTACAAGTCTCCTTTGACTCTTAGTTATAGTTTTCCAAAGTTTGACTTTATTTGCATCCAACCAAATCCTAATTATGAGGGTCAAATATATTTATGTTCTTCTATATTTTTAACAACCCATGTTACTTTATATTTTTTCCCATGTTACTTTATAGTCATCTTGTATTTTTTAAAATTTTCTCAAAGCTGAAATAATAATGAAGTTATGTTTTAAACTCCCAGGATTGTCTCATACACTTGAGAAATTTACCTCCCAAGTACAGACAGACCATCAGAGTATAAATATTACCATTTGTAATATAGCATATATAATCTTAGATCTCCCTAATGATGTATATACCTTTCATATTATTAGGTAACATATAGTAAATGTGGTTCAGTCCAATAAAACCACAACATTAAAAATCCCATTCTGTGAAAACAAGAATGGAAAGAAGGAAAAAAAGAAGAAAAGGAAGTGAGAAAAGAAGAAGCCAAAGGAAGCTGAGAGAGAAGAAGATGGGATGAAACAATGGGTTGAGGAAGAATGGGAAGGAAGGAAGAAAAAAAAAAAAGAAAGGAAGAAAAAGAAGATTAAAATGGTGCGGAGCAGAGGGAGGAGGACCAGGGATAGGAATGAAGGAGACAGGGAAAGAAGAAAAGAGAAAAAGAACAAGGGAAGAGAGAAGAAGGAAGAAAGAAGGGAGCAGAAAAGGAAAAGAAAATTAACAAGGATCATTATTTTGTAGTATGCTAGTATGTGGTATGCTAGTGTGATAAAGGTAATTTATGAGTGTATCTGTGTATGTACACACATGTACGTATATCTATCTGCAAATATCTGCATATGTATACACACATATACATATATAAAATCTTCCATATAGGGGCGCCTGTGTGGCTGTCGTTGGGCGTCTGCCTTCGGCTCAGGTCAGGATCCCAGGGTCCTGGGATCGAGCCCAGCATCAGGCTCCCTGCTCGGCGGGAGGCCTGCTTCTCCCTCTCCCACTCCCCCTGCTTGTGTGCCCTCTCTTGCTGTGTCTCTCTCTGTCAAATAAATAAATGAAATCTTTAAAAAAAAAATCTTCCATATACATGCGTATTCCATATATATATATATATACACACATGTATATCATTATATGAATGTATGTAATATTTTCTATGTGCCCTCATATATATATATGTGTGTATATATATATATATACACACACACACACACACACACACACTATTGTAGTATAAGAAATACATATCTGATGGTTTTTGTCACTGATTCCTGGCATAGAGCTCCTAAAATGCTTAGAATTTCCTGAGTGATGGGGTGACTCTGTTATCGATAAACAAGGTTACACCTGAGATTATGCTAATGAGGTGATTTAGGTTGGGTCCTTAGTAGCCTCTTGATCAAACTGGTCACCAGAAAGACCAAATGATTAGAAGGTTGAAATTTACAGTCCCTGCTTCTGATCTCCAGGGAAAGGTAATGGAGTTCCAGACTGAGCTTTATAAAAACTCTTACACAAGGAGATTCGATGAGATTCTCAACTGGCGCACACATCTATGTGCTGGGAGAGAGGTGCATCCCAGCTCCATAAGAACAGAAGCCTGTGCACTCTGGACCCTTTCAGACCTCACTCTATGTTCCGCTTCACTGGGCTGTTTATTTGTCTCCTTTATAATAAAGCAGCAAATGTAAATAAAATGTCTTCCTGTGTTCTCTGATCCGTTCTAGCAAATTATCAAACCTTAGGATGGGGTCATGGGACCCCTCAATTTACAGCCAGCTCAGTAAGAAGTACAGGAGACCCAGAAATTGCTACCAGTATGTGAAGTGAAGAACAATTTTGTGGGGTTAAGCCCTTGAGCTGCGGAGTTTGCACCAACTCCTGGTGGTTAGTGTTAAAACTGGCTTGAATCGCTGGACACCAAATAGTAGTCAGAGAATCAGAGAATTAGTTGTTGGTGTTGGAAAACACCTCGATCACATATATATTTTTTCCCACATATATTTATATACTTATTGTATTTATTTCCTATATTTATTATATAAATATATAGGTATACATCTTCCATACAAATACATATAACCATTTTTACATGTATATTATATATGTATAAAAATTGTCCACATATATTATTCACATATACCTTATATATAGCTATATGTATATGTCTTCCATATGCATTCCATAAATACTAAATACATATATGTATAAATAGAATGCTATGGGGGGAAGCCATGTAAGGTACTATAAAAGGGTTATATTGAGAAAAGTTACATTAATAAAGATGAAGAGTGAATAAAAACTAGTATAAAATAAGCTATATTATAAAAGCATAAAAAAGCAAAGCAGTAAAGTTAATGTGAAATATAAGTATTATAAAACTAATATAAAATGATATTAAATGTGTATGGTTAACGTTGTGAGTATTATACAGTGGGGCAGTTTGGTCTGGATAACTTCTAGAGTGTTTCCAACTCAGATACATTTACATACCTATATCTTATCAATACCATATCATTTTCACATTTCCTAAGAAGTTGCATTCAGAATTAGTCTATGAATTCCATGTATTATCCATAGCCATCTCATTGAATATAGCATAAAATATGGATTATTAAGTATTCAAATATACAGTGTTATATCTGACACCTTAGCAATCACTGAACACTTAATACACAAGCAATGGAGTTACTAGAATTATCTTCATTATAGAATAATAAATTGAACTGCTCATTCTGATGGTATCATGTAAAATCATTACTTGCATCATCCGAAATAGTAAGATGCATAATTCAAATGGTAAAAATTCAGTTACCTAGAATATAAAATTTATTTTATAAATGCCTTTATTAGAGTATTGGTATAACCTATATTTTGAAAAGAATAATGAAACCATACTCTGAAAATACGTTCCAAAATAAACTGAAAATTTTCCAAATTATCTCTCTTTTGTCCCCTTGCTCAACTCTCCCCTCCCTGCCACTTTATTTCAGAAAGAGGGAGCACTCTCAGCTTCTATGTTTTTTGGTATAGTTTTTTTTCTTTTTTACAGTTCTTTCTATAATATAGTATAAGCCATCAGTTAATAGTATTTTTTAAAAATAGGATTATCAATTAGTAATTTTAAGAGAGCAAAAAAAAAAAGAATGCACAAATAAAGGGAATAAAAGACCCAATTACAGAAAGTGAATACATAACATCTCAAATAATTACAGCAAAGTGGGAAACTGCCCTATGGCATAGATGAAGTTGTCTTCTAGCAAGTTGATGAAATGGCTGGGGGTGTGAAAAGCAGTCTCTAAGATGACCTCCAACGATCCCACTTTCTGGGATTCAAACCCTTGTGCGGACTGGATTTATTCACTTCTAAAAAATGAAATATGGCAGAATGGGAGGTCACTTGTGGCATGAGGTCATAAAAAGGCTGTGGCTTCTGCTTTGAGGAGCCTCTCACTCTCTGTCAGATCACTCCCCTGAGGGAAGCCAGCGGCCAGTGAGGCAGCTCTATAGACGGCCAATGTGAGGGACTGAGATATGAAAACAAGCAACCATAAGAGTGACCCTCGAAGAGGATCTCCTCATCCTCCTGCTCTTCGCTACAGCTGAGTGTCCACATGAAATCACAGCATTGTCCGGCACCTTGACTGCAACTTCATGGCAGATCTTGAGTCAGAGGCACTCCCCTAAGCTGTACTTACAACACTGACCCACAGAAACTGTGAGAGAAGAAATGTGGGTTGGTTTAAGCCATCAGGTTTTCAAGTTATTTATTACATAGCAAAAGATATACAGAGGAAGACCTGTGTCGGGAACTACTAGGTGGGAGTTCTGGGAATCTGGCCAAGTGAACCCAAATCAACCCAATTCTATGTTGATGCCCCCTGGTGGCAGTTGTCTGCTCCAAATTAAATACCGATGGGGATGATCAATGGGGCCTTTGGGACAGTGATGATCTTCACTCAACATATCCCACTCCACCCTATAGCCTTAGGAAATCATTTGCCCGTCCAGCTCTATAGCAACCCACAGGGAAGACTTTTTTGTCTCTGCCCGAGTCTTGCATTGTTTTGGGTCCTCTATAATTCTCTCAACTTATACTTTTAAATTATGTTTACAACTGTATATAGATATGAATCATCAGATGAGAAGTTAAATAAAGTTGATAACATCATATTTTTCTAGCAATATGTTATAAGTACCGTTATAACAATGTTTTTAAAGAAAAAGGCTAGATCCTAGCCCAAAATCTTAAGTGTTAACTTCGTATTTGAAATAATAAAATTCAGTACCATAGAATTATTTGATTACTTCCCTCAGACATATTTTAAACATACTTTATGTTTATTATTTAAAATTGGATTCCATAAAAAATAATTTTCCTTTCTTGTCACAAAGACAAAAGAACAGTAACTTTTTTAAAAAAACAGCAAGAATACAATCATTGACAGAATTCTTATACAGGACTAATGAGTACCTGACATTGTTTCCTATCAATGGGTGGCAGAATTTCAGATCGAGGAAAGGAACGGGCACTTGTACAAGCTAGCCAACTGCTAAGGCTGATGCAGCGCTTCTGCTTAACTTTAGACCTTTGGTATGTTAAAGGCTTTGCCTTTTGTAACCTCAATTCCCAGGGATCAGGATCTTTTCTGAATGGTGAATTGTATATACCTGGAATCTAAAGAAAAAGAACATAATTGTTATTTTTAACTTTAACTTTTCACATGAAATAAAAGGAAGATGAAGTTGTATCATAAAAATTTTCATATGTTTAAGGACTATTTTTAAGTAGAACTCTAGTTCTTAACTAGAGGCTGGCTTTAAATTCATCTAAGGAGATTACAAAATACTCACTTTGTCTACACTCCAGACCAACAATTTCAGAATCATTCATAGTTAAAGACCAAAAATGTTAAAAATCACTGAGCTATAGCTTCTACCTGGCATATATGGCATATTTTATATAACCGTATTTTAGAAAAAATTACAGAAGGACCTTAAGTCATTCTTTCTGTTAACTATGTATATGTGTATTTAATCACATCCGTAAGTCATACATTCACTCACACAAACTAAAATATGCGATGCTTGAACCAGTTTCAGGCACAAAATACGCACTCAATACATACTTGATTGCTTTAACGATTATGATTAAACCCATATATTTTTCCTAAAATATGCTTTTCTGTTATGCCACCATTATATGCAGAAATTTTTCTGGTCACTATATTTATTGATGGAATCAGCAGTTCTAAAGTATTATGATTACCCAAGATCCTTGTCTTTGAAAAACTATCTTAGAAATTTTATATTTCCTGGGGCACCTGGGTGGCATGATCTCAGGGTCTTGGGATTGAGTCCCACATCGGGCTCCCTGCACAGCAAGGAGTCTGATTCTCTCTCCCCCCCCCCGCCCCCCGCTCATGTTCTCTCTCGCTCTTGCTCTCTCTCAAATAAATAAATAAAATCTTTAAAAAGAAGAGAAAGAAAATTTTATATTTTCAGCCTAACATTTCAGTTAAGTGTTAACCTTTTTCTAATACCAACTGAGACTAGATTCAGTGTCCTATCCCTAATGCTACAGTAAGAGCCTGGGGCCAACTCTGTCAGAGCTCTTACCTACCTACCACATTTCATAATTACCTTTGTGTGTATCAGTCTTCCCTAAACAAGCAGCTGGAGGACAGGGCCTCTGTTTTAGGAATTTTTGTAGCCCCATGGCCTCCTGGAGTCCCGGGCTTATAGTAGACACTCAAAAACAATGCACTCTGCAGAAGGACCTGTGAAGCCTGTATTTACTCTTGTTTTCCAAAGCCGCATCAAGATCTCAGGAAAATGTTTGAGGCTTATTTCAAAATCTTATCAACTTCTTTCAAAGAATTATAGATTATACCCTTTTTATCTTTCTTAATACATCAGTTTTGCTGTGCTTTCAAACACATTGTGATCTAGAATTAAATTATCAAAGATCCACTTGAGTTACCTCCAACTCAACTGTTCCTGTGTTATAACTGAATTTTATTAGCTAAAACAAAGCCAATGAAAATATCCTTACATATCTTAAAAAATATTTCTGAACTGGGTTTTCTTTGGGATTTTTTTCCCTATATAATTTATACAAGAAAAAAAGTGTTGAAACATTACAGGCAATTGTATAAACCATATTTAATGTCATGCTGACCATTCTCTCACTATAATACTAAATACCAAACAAGGTAGATTCATAAACAGCTTAAATGATGTTAATAAAAAACAGTATGGACACATATTTAAAATAGTTTTTAGTGTAATTTTGAAGGGGTGAGAATTTTTAAGATGATTTTTAGGGTGAATTTCTATGATGAGAATCTACCAACTGTAATGAGAAGAAAACCAACAAATATTACATTAAATAGGCTATCCTGACATAAATATAACTAAATCTCCATAGTCTATGAAAAAGATAGGAGTATGCCATTCTACTTAGTGATGATCTAGCTGACTTAAGTCTGTTAATCATTTCCACAACCTTGCAGATAGTAAAATACACACAATTTAACTAGATTATAATTTATCAGTTAAAAATATCTATCTACTTGAATAACTGTTACCAGCCATTAACTTTACCCCATTAGAAATCTTCTTTGGTCTCCTTCCACATTTGCATGCACATGTATACATAGGCTAGATGGGAAATGCAAATAGATCAGTAGACATGATAGCTTTCTTAAATTATATTTTGCAACCTATATGGAGACCTTCTCATGTGTATTCTCTTTGCAATTTAAATCAAATATAGGTAGAAAATATATTTTAATTGAATTTAAAATGTATCATTTAAAATCTTCAAGGTGTCAGTTATTTTAGAAATTAATTTAATACATTTGCTAGCTTACGTCAATGAAAACAGTTCAGCCCTTTCTCAATCCCTACCACAAGCAAATACCCTATTTATTTATATTGATACAGTATGCATTTAGCTATTACTTCTTTAAGTAAATAAAACCTTAACTTATTATTGTCTCAATTGCTGCATTTTATAATTTGTAAGCCACTTGTGAATAATGGTTTGTTGTTGATTTTTAAAAATATTACTATGAGTCACAAAAGACAAAGTTAATCCTAAGGGACCATGACATATTTTTCAGTTTTTACATTTTTCACAACTTAGAAGGGCTACTGCCAAGCTAGCTTTTGGGACTTCATTTTCAGCAATAATTTTCTAGAGTGACCAACACTATGGGGAAATCTGTGCTAACTGTTTAAAAAAAAAAAAAAGCCTACAACTGAGTTATTTGCAGTACTGTCATGCTAACATTCAACTCAATAAGACCCAAGAAATCTCGGGAGAGGACTCTGCTAATAGCTTCTTACTGACCTCCTTGCATCAGGCTGGGCTGCTGACTGGTGGCCCAGTGGTGAATACGGCAAATGAGGTGTGAAAGCACTGATTTTTTTTAAAGGCTATGATTCTGACTCGTCAAAAGGAAAAAATAAAAAAAAAAGGCAATGAGTTATATAATAGCTATATATTTTTCTTGAATTCCCCCCTTCAGATCCTCCATCATGGGAACTTAAGCATGACCTGGAATATTAATTATGTCAGGTTGAGCAACGAGCAAATGTACCATTTGTTACCCAGTCACCCTTAGCATTACATTAATATTTTGAACCATTCCATATTTCTAACAATCTATCAGTTGCTCTTTTCTTCTCAGTTTTTATTCTTTAGACTTATAAGTATTGTATGGGAAAGTACTTTAAAAATGCAATTGATTTAAAAACAAATAATGGATGATGGATTTGAAGCATCTACTGTTTTATTTCATGGAGAATGTTTTTATAATCATTTTCCACTCATCCACAGACCTTCATTTTGTAATTGCCTGGGGGAACCTATATTCTAATTCTCCCCTCTTCTCTTTGTTATTGAGGTTTACTTCTAAAACAAGGTGCTGTAAAATAAAAAGAATCTGAAACATGATTTTGTACATCTATAATTCCCAAAGCACAATGATTAGTCTTTCCATTTCATATTTTACCATATGAGAAATAATAATCTCTCGTAATTTCAAAGTAACTGCTCACTCAGGAATGAGGAACTACTAAGTATACAGGATAGGTGGGAAAATTCAAGTTTTACTTTTGCAAATGACAATTACACAGCAAATGGGAGTTGACTGCCACATAAAGGAACAAAATCAGAAAGCATTTTCTTGCATCAGGATTCAGAATTTGTGAATACTGGGAGAGATACACAGTTCTAAAAAGGGGGGGATGCTGAGTAAAAGATGTTCAGGATCCAAGCTTTAATCAAAATTATTTTAAAAATTAGACACTAAGCCAGCACAGAAGGGCAGAAGATCTCTACTAATGAGGAAAGTCAAAGTGGGCCAGAGAACTGTGAATGAAGTATTTGTGAGGGTAGGGACTGCTGAATCAACACTGACCAACGCACTTCATCATAATTATCAGGACACACCAGTACCAGGGGATTTATAAAAATCCCACTCAGCAAATAATTGCCCTGCTGTTAGGAGATAGTCAGACTGTTAACACACTGTCACAGTCCAGTGTTTAGTAAGATATTCTACATTCAATTACTTACTCTTGCTGAGAACTAAAAGGAACCATGGTCATTTCGCACCACCTCAGTTACGCTTCCGTGTGCATTTCAGACAACAGCCATGTTAACCCTCATATACAGTACCCCAGAAGGAAGAAGGATTTCATGGAAACATTTGGGATTCACAAGGAACATATCTGGTATAAAACTTATCTCTATATAGCAAGATTTAGAAAGAAAAAACTATTACTAACTATACATGCTTTTCTGTGACTTCAGGGAAGAAGTCGAATTTTTAAATGTTTTGAGTCAAAGTAGAGTGGGGTCATGTTAAATGGAGATTCCTGAAGTAGCTGGCTTCATTAGTTTAACAAATGATTTTTATGAATCATTTTGATATCCCAAACATTATCATCATATATTAAAATATTTTCATTAAATATTGATTAAAACAATGAAATTTAAATAAAATACCATCCTCTATATACTAACTCAATTCAATAAATATGTAGCATCTACTAACTTAGACACACTTTACTGGATCTGAGGTGGGTACAGATGAATGAAAAGTGATCACTCCCACCATGCCATTCTTAGTGGTGGGAGAGGGGAGGGCTAGGAGAGCAATTTTGTGACTGACAATAACATAACCAGCCTGTAGTAAGTATCCACTAACTACTGTTGTAAAAGAGGTTTACACCAGAGGTTAGAGTAAAAGTATATACATCTTTTAGAACTGTGGAAAAAATATCTGACTTTCTTCTAAAGGTGGGTAGAATTTTGGTAATAAAAAGGGAAGAAAGGCATTGCAGGCTAAGGGAAGGGTAAAAATAAAGAGAAACATATTTGTGGGAAAACATAGAACAGCTGTTCAGTGACTATCACACTGGCCAGTTTAAGCATGAGGCTATAGTCAGAGATGAGCTTATAAAGATAAATTGGGGCCAAACTCTAGAAGGCTGCAAATTACACTTAATTCTGCATAAAATGGAAATCTGTTGATTTTCACATTCTTCCTTAGAAGGTAAACTCAGGAAGAAGTCTGAAGCAGGCCTACAGAAACAGACTCCATGAAAACACAGGTGAAAACCACAATTTAAGGGACAGAACAAGCATCAGAACCAGACTCAGAG